TATTATTTTTTCTAAAATTTTTGAAATAGATGTAAGGACTGAGATAGGCCTATAGTTGTTGACATCGTCTCTCTTACCACTTATAAACCGGAGTAATTAAAGATTTTTTAAGTGAGAGCGGGAATAATCCTGTACGAAAACAAAGATTAGCCAAGTGACTAATTACAGGGGCGATGAGAAACTTACACCATTTCAGAAATTTAGTAGGAATATTGCCCCAACCAGCAGCACTGTCAGTTTTGAGATTATCAATAATAAGGACAACTTCCTGTGGATCAGTGTCAAAAAGAACGAATGATGTCAAATGAGGGCTTGTATTTTGTATAGGATTTTCAGGTGTATTGATGTCATTAGCTAGTTTTTTTCCAATGTTAGCAAAAAATTCACCAACAAATTAATTGATTCATTAGGAGATGATTTTATTGTAAGGAGTTCATTGCTATGTGTCTTAGAGGGTTTGTATTGAGTAATAGTATTTATAGTTTTCCAACGATTTTTTGAATTTTTAGAAGCATTAGTAAGTTGTTCCCGTTCGTATTTTCTCTTTAGTTTTTTATCAAATTGTTGCAATGATTACGATATCTTTAAAATGTTATTTTTAGAATATTATTATCTGAGTCAGATCTTAGTTTAAGCTGCATTTGGTTTCTGTTCCTTATACATCGCAAAATACCTGTACTGATCCAAGGCTTTATAGTTCGCTGAGTTTTTGGAAGATACTTAGTAATTTTAGCCTCATCCACTGATTCTTTTAACTTTTGAGTAAGCTGTTCAATAAGTAAGTTAGGGTCTTCACACAAGAGTAGACTCTCTAAGTTTCTTTCAAGCAAAACATTGTAGGCTTTCTCGTAATCTATTATTAATTTAGTTTTAGTCTGTATAGATTTATGTTTATATGATCTATCTATATTTATATGATATTATTTATAATTATATGATCTGGGCAACTATTTTCACGAGTAGGAAATGTCCATTTAATAAACCATGTGTAGACAACATGTACAAATAATTTATTCTGTTATTGCATTCATATAATTTTTCATTAGATTTAGGAATTATATTTCTATTTATGTCACCTGTGATAGTAACATTAGCAGAATTTATAGTTGACAAATGGTTATTTAGAGAATCTATAAAATTTGACGTGTTACTATTGGATGGAGAGCGATATATACCAAGTACAACATGGTTAAAAATATTTACTTGTAAGCATGACGCCTCTTTTAATACAACTTCTGTAATGTTAGCTTTTAATAAGGATTTTGTATATATCACTACACCATCATTCTGATTAATATGATGTGTTGTTGCAAGATGAGTATAGTTTGGAAGAATAGGAATAGCTTTGCTTTTATCTAGATGACACTCTATTAGGACCAATACATCAGGATCAAATTCTAGTTGCGCAATATTTACCAAAGGATCATCAAAATTACAATTCACGCTTCTTATATTTTGCGTAAAGATAGTAAGATCTGATTTAGTAATTTTAACGTGTTTACCTAAGCCCTGGATATTGCATTGTATGGAGTCAGCAATTTTAGCACAATCTATGTCATTTAGTGTTTGTAAAGACGTAACCATTTAATTTAATATAAATAGAAAGATCGAAATGATCGAGAGGGTAGATTAAAATTGAATATTTGAGAATAACATGGAAGGTCATTGTGCTAAATATTTCATAAAATTTAGTAATTATAAATATTTTTCCATTATCGCCATGGTAAACTTGGGAAATGTATAATTGATTTTGTGTGGTGTGTATAGTATGAGAGTGAGTGTAAGTGTAAGGACACTAATTAAAATTGAAATCGTAATAGCGCCTAACCAAAAACGCGCGTTTGCCTCCCAATGTAGCGTACAGCGTAATAAAATAAAAAACCATAAAATAAAAAACCATAACAGAAACCAAGAATACAAACAATATGACAACATAAACACCAAATCTAGTCATTTTACATTGAACAGTTTATGAGTTTGGGGTTCAGAAGTCAATGTAATAATGTCGGATTCATCATCCTTTCTAACGTAAACATTGCCATAATTGGTCCAGCAATATTTATAATCCGTAAATTTAATTAAATCCCTGGCAATTAAATAGAGTCTGGCAGATTTATCAGTTAATTGCCCAGATACAAATATTGGGGTCTCCTCAGAGGTAGTCATACCAAAATGTTAGATAGTGCTTAACTTTTCAAGTTTATTTAGCTTTGTTTCATCTTTGCGATAATAACATTGTTTTTCTAACGCCGGACAAAGGTCAGTCCCTGTACCATGTACTCGTATGTACGAGTATACGAGTATATAATCGTTGCTGTTGCGTTTGTTAGTGATCGTGTAATATCTGGCTAATTGAGTTGGTTTTGGAATTGGTTTCGTTATTGTCAAGATAATATTAAATTCTGTATTAAAATTACTCATACTTGCAATATACATATTAAGTGTAGTTCCAAAAAAAAAATTGGTCTCGATAGATTGATGTTTATTAATAAATTTTATATTTACACTGGAAAAAGTCCAGGGTGAATTCGGAGTGACAATCATGACGTCACCCATCGGAAAGGACAGGATATCGTCAATCGGGCCAGCTAGTATTATTATACATTTGACAGGATATCAAAAGATACCGAACACAATATGTATTAAATCGTATAATATAGATTTTTATATAATGAAATCTATAATATACATTAATTAGTATACATAATACGATCCTTTTTACTCTACAATATAATAAACAATTCTAACAAATGCGAATAGATTATTTTATACCACTCAAGTGATTTAGCACTGAGACATGCATGGCTTAATCTTTGAGACAAGCATGTTAACTAAAATTATCCTAATATCGTTGCGGGTGACAAAACAGTTTAAATTGTTTTTGAGTACATACTATACTATTATCATTATTATTACAGCCCTTAACACTTCCACCGCTGAACATTGGCCAAGGAGTGCCGCTAAACACGGTCCGAACCCACCTGCATTCTACCAGGTCTCTACTTCATTAATAATAATTAGTGTGGGATTGTCCTACACATCTGTTACGAGTACCATTACAAAGTTGCCGCTCGAGAACCTTTCTTCCCTGCTTTTAAGTACTCATACTTAATAAAAAATTATGTCCAAATTTTTACTGAAATATTATCCTATTTTATATTAATTTACGGATTAAAATTATACAATTGAAATATTAAAAGTTACGGCATATAATAGCCTACTGGTGAGCACGGGCTTTCTATCATTTGTCAGAGTATGGACCAATTGGCCTGCTGCGGTACTCCAGTGCTCGTTGACCTCAATATATTTTTATTTTTAAGACATGAAGGTTTCCACACGCTGTGTTCCTTCTCCATCAAGCACACTCAGCACTAAAAATTGCAATTAACAATTTCATTGCTAGCAGGGATCGAAAACGGGTTCGGGTTGATGATGATATAGATTTATCGTATCAAAGAGAAACCTTGGTTAAGCTGGTGATTGCACTAAGTCGAAAATGTGAATGTTTATTTTCTTTGTACTTCAAAAAGTTTTATAAGCGTAAAAACTAACTGGTAATAAAAAAATTAAACATAAATCTTTTTTACATGACAAGTCACAAGTATAGTTATTATTTAGTTTTAGATATTTAGTTAAGAATATATTTTAACTAAAAATTATATAATTACGGGAATTTCCAAATTCATTTTACAAATCTAAATTGAGCAATTGACATTGACATTGGTATTGAAAAATTTATACCTATAATTATTGTTACAATATTTTTTTAAAGTTATATATAAAGTACAGTTACAATAATGTTAAGCTTTCTTAACTATAATTACACATTTCGACGTTAATTTTTTAAGCCATAACTAAGTTAAAATATTGCATAATACACTAAAATAAATACACTCCATTTACTAACATGTCGATTATATCCTAAACAAAGTTGCAGAATTTTTCTCTGATTTTTTTATAAGTAAATTTATAAATAAATCATCTCCCAACAGTCCAATTTAGTAACAAAGGCAAAGCTCGAAATAACTCATTTACGAATAACCCTGTTTTCTAACAAACTATATACCTATTCTTATTTACTTAAAATAACACAGCTACTTTTTTGTCTTACACACACAATAATATGTAAATCTCTAAGTATTGGTTTTTGAGAATCATTAGTTATTTTGGAACGAAGTTCCTTATCGGACGGTACGGGTTTGGCGGATAGGAGCTAGGCGACAAAAAGTGTAAGATTTTTTCGTCACTACCCCTTGTGTCATAGTGTAGACGGCCTTGGCGGCGAAATAAGGAAGTGAGATGGAATAATATCCTTCTCCCTCGCACTTTTTCTTATCTTGCCATGAAATAAATATTATTTTATTTCAAATGACACTTCATTTTAATAAACGCAAGTAATTCATTTATTTGTATTTGTTAATACAAATAAATGAATTTAATGCAAGGAATTTCGTTCCAACCGAGTGTTCTACGACACTCACGCAATTTTTATTGTTTATTACATTCTCTCACGATCTTAAATATATGGTCCATGAACTGAGTCTGTTAGTATAGCAGAAATGCGTTTCTGTAGAAATAAAATCGAATTGTGTAATGCTTACTTGATCTCCTCGATCAAGAAAGGTTTATATACGCACAGGATATGATTGCAGTATGCTGCGTTTCGTATAGTGAGTGATGAGAATCATTGACCAATTTTACTTGTAACGAGGTATTTCATTTCAGACCTTAGGGTTTGATAACGCCTCCGCATTTTGATTTTTGTTGAGGGTAGATGTTAATATCTAGAGGTCACAGCTCATTACATACACTTAAAATCAGGTCTATCTCCTTATATAATACAGTTTGTCACACTTATTATTATATGAAAACGTAGATAAGATAAGTTTATATTTTTTTATATATGAAATTTTTGACAAAATCGATATCGATGCTATAAGCTATAACATTCACGCAATTTACATTTTTAAGATTATTTAAGGTATTTTCATGATTGTTTCCTAATTCTTGTCAAGATTTTGCGTGTCCAATTGCGTCGATTGATTGCCAATATTTTTAAGCTCGAATTCTTGAAACGGGATGGCCAGTCTTTTATTGCAGCTGTCGCACACTTGACAATATTGCTTCTCTTCAGTATTCGTTTGCTTGTCTGATATTTCGAAACTTTTTGTCTTGTTTGAAGACCGGTTGCCCAGAGATTTATCTGCAAGCAGAAACATATTTTTGCATGATAAGTTTTGTCGCTTGACAAAGGTTTTCACTGTGTTAAACAAGAATTAGTAAAACAATTTAAATTTTTAAGGAAGCGAGCAATGCGAAAAAGTTCAATTCCTCCCGGCACCAATGAAATAATTTAAATGAATTTGTGCGTAAATGAATAGAAATTGGTGCAAAATATTTTATCTACATCTAAATAAAATTTAGGGATCTGTCTGTAATTACTTGCATGCCATTAAGACATGTTTAACCATTGGTAATATTTTTGTCTGTCTATCTGTCTGTCTGTCAGTCTGTCAATTATTTACTGTCTGTCAGTATAGACTAATCTTTAGAATGGCTGAAAAGATTATAATGAAACTTTACCAACAGATGGAAAGCAATGCCAGGAGTGATTTAGGTTATATTAAATCTGAAAAACTTGGAGTATTTTTGTGACATCGAAAAAATTATATAATAAATGGTCATTGCTAATTATTTAAAAAAATCTAAATAGCACCACATTAAAAGATACGCTAGTAAAAATTGTGTATAATTTAAATTAAAAGTTATATTGTCGTCAAAGTTCTATGTTTATTTTTCGCAAAAAATCTGAACAAATTGGTTCTTCGAGCTAGATTGTTGCAAAATCGAATGCAGTGGTCTTTGGAATATAATCGAATACAAATGTAGTACGTCGCATCTGAAAACGCAGAAGTTAAAAGGCTAGTCTAGTCTAGCAAAGTGCGAGCTACGTAACTTGGAAACAGAGCAGAAGCTAGCGTTAGGCCTAAAACGCTTACAAAACGTAAAATCAACCACTATGCAAAGTCCTACTTCATATCCATTTCCGCTGTGTTACTGCCCTATTTCCTCTTAATTCAGAGTAAACTTTATGCAATGCTAACTTCTTTGAGCGTCCAGATACTTTCGTAACGCGTCTTTGTATACTGTCTTAATCATTGAAACGTGAGTACTCCATCTTCACGAATTAGTTCGATCGTTCGTGACCTCATGATTATTTTATTGCAATTTAGGCAACATAAACACACAGCTTGGTTCGAAATCGAAAAAATGTATTAACATGCCTCAGTTCACGAGGATCAGCGTGACCTGCAGTTGATCTAGAAGCGCGATGATTCATTTCAGTTTATAAGCTTATATAAACTAATTACAGTTAAAAACCGAACTGCATCCGCGATTTGTATGTTTTAGGTATTTTAAACAGCTATCAAGTAAATGAGATTAGTACGGTATTAGCAAAGAGTGAAGTCATCCTAAATTCCACTCCGAATTTGTTTCCCTTGAATCCTAGTTTATTTCTTGGTAAGTCGTTTTTTGACAACATCTGTAACTGAACGTTTGAATTCCTGTCCATTAGACATATCTTCTTCTAGCTTCTTATAAGAAGCTAGAACAGACTCGACAACACTTCTGGAATAGTTGGAGCAAGCTGTAAATGTAGGATATGCAGACTAAAACCAGACAAAAAGAGAATAAACTTGGTCGTCTGCTAAAGCATCTTTTTTTATTGATTATGATAACCAGATATGTTGGACTTAAATCGGATACCAATATCATTAAGCCATCAAAATGGATAAAATAGGTAAATCACCCAGGCAATTTAATGGTGGAATATGTACATAGACTAGTTAGTCAATAAGGAAACAGTAATTGAACACAAACTCATCAACATGGCAAATAATGTTTGTGGTACGACATGTGAGTTGTACCTAGCTACTTAGCTTACTACATACGCAGAATATTTTACGTAAAATATAATTTAAATTAAAAAAGTATTTTATCGCAAAATCATGTCTTCATTCCTACACAATAAGACTGAACAATATCTATTATCCAAACCTTTTGTGTTTGAGAGCTTATGAGTTTGTCATTTAGATAAAAAAATAGATGATTGTTTTGGATTTTCTTTTGATACAATGAACATTCATTCAAACAAAATTGGTTTTTATTTTTAATTAAAGTCAGTGTAATGAAAACTATCGTATATCAAACAGCAATCGAGATTATAAAATGGTTTCGAATTTAGTTTCGATTATTTCATTAAAAAGAAGAGGAGTAAACAAAAGTTACACAACATGTTACTTAATCTGTACGCACCCTAAAAAGTAAAATTACAGCCTCTATACGTCCCACTGCTGGGCACAGGCCTTCTTTCATTTCTGAGAGGATTTTTGGTCAAGAAAATGTCTACGATTTTTAATGTTTTCTTTCATCATCGAGCACCTGGTAAAACAGCACTCAAAACTGCAATTAACAATTTAATGACTTCTGTTTCTAATTATTTCTTTCGCTTGTTTTATTTGCTTTCAATAGTTTCGGATGTGGATATAGTTCGGTAATCTTTATATGACATCGTCGCGGTTCGCTCCTTCCTCTCTTGAGCTCCTCTCACTCGTGCAAATCGATGCTATTATATGTTATCTAGGCGCGAACAAATTCAATAGACCATTAATCGAGATATAATATTATGGAAAGAATATAAATATATATATATATATATATATATATATATATATATATATATATATATATATATATATATATTTTTTTTTTTTCTGTGGGTACGTGTTTTTGTTAATGAACACCTCACCATTTTTTGTGTACTTGAGTGGGTCCCTGGATGGTTTAGATTCGCATAGACGCAGTAGGTGGCGCTGTTATCTAGATCCAGAAATCAACCATGCGAAGCCGAGGCCGATTACTAGTCTATAAAAAATCCACTAAATTCCAATATCCACGTGAATTTAGTGGAATTATAACGTGAATTCTATTTGTGTTTTAAAATTATATATATTTATATAACATAGTATACATTACTTTATTATATACAATATTAAAAAATTATAATAAAAAATAAATAAAACTATCATACAGTCCTACTCCCCGTGGTATCGTGCCAAGGACGCTGGCTGCGATTCCTCGCTGAATATTTAGCCTTTGAGCGAGAAAAAAACCAGCCCTATAATCACCAGCAGTAACGACCAGTCGCGGGTAGAGTTCCTTTAGGAACTTCTCCGCACGTTAACCCCACGGACCGATAGTCTCTACAGCAAATGGCACAAATATGTAGTCATCTCTCAGAGATTCATATTTGCGTCACTTACTCAGTTCAGCTGCCTCTGATGCCGCCCCGGCTCTACACGAGGTACCTTATGCTTTACCCCTGAGATGAGAGGCCGCCAAAGTGTCTACGCAAGTAGCATCCCACACTAGAGCTTTACCTCTCTCCTAAGGGACCGATGTCATACCGTCGGGTCTCCTGCCATCGTCTCTAAATATTCCACAAGGCTCTAAAACCGAGGGAACATTTATAGAGACAAGAGCTCTTCGAATGAAATCGTTCAAAGAAGCGTGCCGTGAAAACCTACCAGCACTTTTCTTACATGAAAATCCGTGGAGCCCAAGCTCGTCGACGCTGCTACGACAGGGGCACTGATATCTATTTATAACGCTTTTTTTACGTTACATTGAAACTAGACTTTTGTTATAAACGACCAAATAGGATACAATGGTCAACACTACGAGTACGTAAAAATATTGTTACATATCTAGAAATAATTACGATGATTTGCTCTGCAAAGGAAATAAATTAATAAAGTTTAAAATTATAGATAGAAAAGACGATTCAACAAAAGTTACAATATTGCAATAAAGTTGAGTTAGCTTTCATTTGTTATTAAATTACGGTATTCATTACGTTATTCATTATTTTTGCATAGATAAAATTATTGATCTCAATACAATCTGTTTGCTGTTTTATTAGGTAGGTACTTAAACATCGACACCCCGCATTTGAGCAGTAGCTGGAGTTCTCTCCTAATTCAATTGAGCTTTAGAATACAAATAATACTTAAACACTACAGTAACGTTTCGCTTTATAGCCTAATCGTCATCATCGTATTATCTCTAACTGATAAACAGTACACGTCAAATGAAGTGCACGTCTAAAAAAATTAGATTTCCAATAAAAAGCTAAAAAATTTGATTTCGATTCGAATGTATACTTTATTCCTTGTATGTATGTTACGCGATATCTTTATCTATTGAGAACCAAACTTCAGGCTTAGTCCCAAATAATTTTCGAGAAAAAAAACTAGAAGTGAATTCACTCAAAAGGGCCAAAAATAAAGCTTTTAATAAAAGATTAAAGATGACGTTAAAGAAGGTTGTCAAGGGGTCTATGGGCAGTTAAATACACTAATCATCAGGTTAACTGAGCGCGAATTCTATTTAAAAATAAGATGCATGAGTGTCGTGGAAAACTCGATTGGAACGAAGTTCCTTTCGTAGAATATTATTATAGATAAACGTATTATATTATTGATTAACAAATACAAATAAATGAATTACTAGCGTCTATTAAAATGGAGCGTCATTTAAAATAACATTTCTTTGCGAGGGAATATTACTCCATCTCGCTAGCACTATAGAAAGGGTCGTGACGGAAAAACCTTACACTTTTTCTCGCCTAGCCCCCATCCACCAAATTCGTAGCGTGCGATGAGGAACTTCGTTTCAAAAATCCAAAGCTTACCTCGCTTGCAATAGTCGTTTTCAAATTTATATTTAATAATCTATGAGTCGCATCCTGCCTGATTCTGAATAAACTCTGGAAAATGATGGTAGATAAAATATCCAAATATACTGAATTTAAATTTCATAGGCGGATGATGAATAAATAGCGCAGCATTACTCACATATCGACTCAGCACTACCGCCCAGTTTTTATGCCGTGGTGGATATGTTTTCTTTTCCTAAGAATAAGTATCAACGGACGCAGTCTTAGAAAGGCATATACGAAACTGTTTCTTACCTGAACTTTTGGTGCCTCTGCCTAGTGTTCTCTGGGATAAAGGCATTGTAGTGTAAAAATTTCGCTTATTTCCAGGTGTGTCCTTTATTCGGCAGCACCATTTTGTAACTGAATTCTGAAATGGTTAAAAATAACAACGTGTACTTAAATTAAATTTTGAAATATTTTAGAAGAATAGCTAGCAAAAATAGGCGAAATGTAATGTTTAAATCATATATATAGTAGATTGGCCATGGAGTGATTAGGGCGAGACCAAAATCAAAATACACCAGTGTGAGTGTTATATGCAGGTGTCGGTGACAAATAGTGCTACACCATGCATTGCCTGCCTCAACTATAATTATCGATACAGATTGCAGTATACTCGTGTCTTCTGATTTGACGCAGATGATTTAAGTGAATATTTTACCCAACCACGGCTAAGCCAAAAGGATGGTATTAATTTTAGAAGACCATATACTATGTATTTTTGCTCATCTGTTTCCTTGGATCTTCTAAACTGCTTATCGTATATTGATAAATTAGATATCTTTAAAAACATTGTGCCCTTTCGCAGGTTTTAAACTGCATGAAGTTACACAAAACTTAAAATGGCGGCTTATTGTGAACATAATGAACCATTAAAATACATACTATTGTATGAAGTTTTTTAAAATTCAAATAACTAGACTACTACTAAGAAAAACAAACTAAATACTTAAATTATCATACAGTCCTACTTTCTGTGGTATCGTTCCAAGAAGGCTAGCTGCTAATTAAATAAATATTGAAATATCGTGTCTGCGATCCAATAAAAGGTGTAATTCAGAATATTCCCGACATTCCGAAAATACATGTTACAAAAATTTTAATTTTATTAGGACTTATGAGTTAAAGTTTTTTTATACAACAGAAATATCCAACGAACTTACAGTCCACCTGAAGATAGTAAGTGGCTACTTCAGCCCCTGGAAACTTGCAGCTAACGTCAAACTAAGAAGGTCGTTGTCACCTCTACAGATTGAGATGACATGCCTCACAGCCGGTATTTATACCGCTACTAGGTGAGAGGGTAATATCTACCCAGAAGGCTCCACAGACAGAAATGGGGTCCTACCACTTAGTTCATACATAAACTTCAAAATTGTTAATATAAATTCGCTGAAAGAAACGCTGTACTTAAAAAAATGCGTGAGTGTCGTGGAACACTCGGTTGGAATGAAGTACTTTGCATTTTATATTAATATTGATGAACGTAGGTATTATATTATTGATTAACAAATACAAATAAATGAATTACTAGCGTCTATTAAAATGAAGCGTCATGTGAAATAAAATAATATTTCTTTCATGGCAAGATAAGAAAAAGTGCAAGGGAGATGGATATTATTCCATCTCACTTCCTTATTTCGCCGCCAAAGCCGTCTACACTATAACACAAGGGGTAGTGACGAAAAAATCTTACACTTTTTGTCGCCTAGGTCCCATCCGCCAAACCATGAAGCAAATACAAAGGGGAGACGTTGTAATTAAATTTCACTATGTAACAACGCGTGACAATTTGCGGGGTGAGGGGATGCAAAGCCCCGCCCACTACACTATCTACATCTACTGATAAATAGTAAAACTACTCGAATCTTTCCATATCAATGTTGCAATGTAGCTTAGCTACCTTGACGGTAGATGGCGGCATGTCCACAAAATGTTATAAACTATAAAATAATATTTTGCCGATTAAAATTTCTTTATGTCTGAATGTAAAACAAATTTCAGCACCTTCGTATGATTATTTTATCATTACTGAGCGCTACGTATCATTATATTTTTAGTTCACTGGACACAAAGTGTCGCCATCTAGTGTGGAATATATTTAATTATATTTGAAAGCCGACGCAAAGAGATTTTTCTAGAACTATTTTAATAAATTAGGTGTAAAAATATTTACAAATGTAATGTGATGCCATTCATAACATCAGAGCGTCTATCTGAGTAGTTTTTACACAATAAAAACACAACACTTCATCCTTTTCTTCTTAATACTACGAAAATACACCGATTTACGACTTTTTCAACACATAAGCGCACAAGACGAGTGCTGACAGTATACTAACTAAAGCCACGCCCACTATGATGACGTCAGGACCTACTTAGAATCACAGTGCACAGTTGCTTATGCCGTCTCCCCTTTGTATTAGCTTCATGCGCCAAACCCATACCGTCCGTTCCAAACATTATATCCGTGTTATGACGTGCATATAAATTAAAAGTTAGTAACTAAAAGCAAACTGCGCTAGGAATTGTATACTAAAAAGGTATTAAGCAACATTACGATGTCAATTTTTTAGAATATTGCGAAACATATTCAAATACCTATTGCTATTCAGCTACCTATAATAAATAAAATATAATATTCCAATAATACAATAAATTTTAATATGTAATTTCATTAAAAAGTGTTTATAGTTGGATGTTTTGTCATAGCTTAATGTACCTCTATGTTACTGTTCAAAACAATTAAAGTCCACTGCCGCACAACGGTCTCTCCCATAGATTGCCTCATAGGAGGGATTTTTGCTATAGCTGCCACGCTTGGCAAGCAGGTTGCCAAGCGCAGTTTTTTATTTTCAGCTCAAATTTGTTTCCCTCTATCGCCTCTTACGACACCCACGAGATGATATGGGGTAGTGGATATTTTTACAACACCACTACACAGTGGACACCTCTGTGAGAAAAACACTTTCCTTCAAAGTATGAAGAACAACGCATTAAGGTATATGGAATATTTTTTTTGAAAAACAATTCTTCTCTATTTACCTATTATTATGTGCCCGTTTGTCACCCTAGTTCTCTTAAAAAATATTTTTTATACGAATATTTAGCTACGAAAACAATAAAATTACTAAGTTGAATAAGACTGGATGCATGCATACCTTTGCTTGTTAAGGTCATTTCGATAAGATGTTATCGATAGTGTCAATCTCTACAAAAGTGAGGTTAAAATTAGCAGAGTTTTAGGTATTTGCAATTACTTTAAATTCAATTGCTTAGCATTCAGATGATTATTATAATAAAATGTGATAATTTTTCCTATCCATTTAAGTACAAATTGTTTGTACCTGCTCTAAAACACAGCATTTAGACATTTTAACATTTCAATCGTACCTACGGATTAAATGTTTATTAATGTCCGATTTCTTTCTAAGTTGAGTTATATTTAGGTACTACGCGCCTAGGCATAACTAACTACGTCATATGGTTAAACACTAATTTTCACTTTAAAACCTGAGATTTTGCAAATACAAGCGGGATTTGTCTTGCTCACGAATGACGCCAGCCCGATATAGCCCGATAACATGTACGTGAATGGTCTAGGCTATCTTTCTCGCTCTAACATACTCATACACTATGCTCTTTCTCTTTTGCATTGCCAATCTATTCTAAAGTTAGTTATATAGTAACTAAATCTATGGTTTGAGTATACATATGTCATATATTTTTTTTAATTTTGTCTTTACTTTTTTAAAACCTTCACTCGAATTCATCCGTTATTCGAAAGTACAGGTATTTTAATTAAATATAAATAGACAAACACACATAGCCGTCTTTTACAAATTCTGTACTATCGAAGACTATGTCATCATCATCATTACAGCCCTTCAAAAGTCCACTGCTGAACATAGGCCTCCCCCAAAGAATGCCACAAAGCACGGTCCTGAGCCAACTGCATCCATCGACTTCCTGCATGTCTTACCAGGTCGTCACTCCATCTCGTGGGGGGACGCCCTACACTTCGCCTACCGGTACGAGGCTGCCACTCGAGAACCTTTCTTCCCCATCGGTTGTCGGTTCTTCGAGCTATATGGCCGGCCCACTGCCACTTCAGCTTACTAATCCGTTGGGCTATGTCGGTTACTCTGGTTCTACTGCGGATATCCTCATTCCTAAGTTTATCACGCAGAGAAACTCCGAGCATAGCCCTCTCCATAGCTCGCTGAGCGACCTTGAGCTTCCTCATCCGGCCAGCAGTGAAGGACCACGTCTCAGTTCCGTATGTCATCACTGGCAACACGCACTGGGTGTACAGTCTCGTTTTCCAGTTTTGAGGTATACCTGACGAGAAGATGTGCCGTAATTTCCCGAACGCTGCCCAACCGAGTTGAATCCGTCGATTGACCTCTCGGTCGAAGTTGGAGTTACCTAGTCGGACTATTTGTCTCCCAGGTAAACATACTCGTCAACAACTTCGAGCTTAGTGTTCCCAACAACTACCGGCATAGGTGTGACATGGACATTAAACATGATCTTTGTTTTGTCCATGTTCATTTTAAGACCTATTCGTTGGGAAACACTATTGAGGTCATTGAGCATAGTGCTTAGGTCCTCCAGCGATTCTGCCATAAAGACTATATCGTCGGCAAATCGAAGGTGAGTGATGTACTCGCCATTGATGTTGATACCGTATCCTTTCCAGTCCAGAAGCTTGAAAACGTCTTCCAATGCAGCGGTGAAGAGTTTCGGGGATATGACGTCACCCTGTCTTACACCTCTCTGCAATTGGATAGGTTTCGTACTCTGGTTCTGTACTCGGATAGCCATCGTAGCCCTACTGTACAAGCACTTCAACACTTCGATATACCGACAGTCAGCTTGGCACCGCTGAAGGGACTGCAGCACCGCCCAAATTTCGACGGAATCAAAGGCTTTCTCATAGTCCACATACGCCAGACATAGTGGCAAATTGTACTCTTCGGACTTGTGTACAATTTGCCGAAGGGTATGTATGTGGTCTATGGTGCTAAAGCCCTTTCGGAAACCGGCTTGTTCGGGAGGCTGGAAGTCGTCAAGTCTGCGCGCGAGACGATTCGTAATGACTCTCGAAAACAGCACGTAGACGCGGCTCAGAAGGGAAATCGGTCTGTAGTTCTTCAAGAGAGCGTTGTCACCTTTCTTGAAGAACAAGACCACCGCACTTCTGCTCCACGCCTCCGGTGTAATGCCACCATGGAGAACGGAATTAAAGAGCTTCTGAAGGACTTCAAGTACCGGTCTTCCACCCGGTTTCAGAAGCTCCGCTGTAATTCCATCCTCGCCTGGGGCCTTACCGTTTTTAAGGTGCTGGAGAGCCATTCTAATCTC